GCACGTTCAAGTACAAGTTCTGAAAGGTTACCGCATGCACGATTTGGCAGGTCTCGCAATCAGGATTGTTCGGGACACGAACCAGCACTTCTGTTTGCAACGCCAACGCCAGCGACTCGACAAGCCGAATGTCGCCTTCCTTCCAAAGTTCCGCTCCTTACTGCTTGAGAAAGAGATGCACGCAGAGAAGCTCGTGGAAACCGGTCAGGTGTTGGAGCTTCATCGCTACTTTGGTGTAGGACTTGTTCTGCCTCAGCGGACGCTTTCTGAGCTTGATCTACTCCAAATTCGCGAACTCGCAAACGCTCACCTTGAGCCATTTTATCAGACGCGTGGCATGCCCTTGACTGAGGGTTTGCAGCAGCTGCACGAAGCGCTGAAGCAACAGTACCCAGATGTTGTGGTCGTTGGTGTCGAGCGGCGCTTTTGCAGCGCCATGCACGATCACGCTTTCATTTGCAGCCACATCCGTGCCGTCGCGCGGCACTTTGGAGGCATCGAGAACTTTCGTCTTCAAATCCATTCTCTCTTCGAAGAGCCACCAGTGTGTCCCGTGTCCCGCTCAGCACCCGTCAATCCTGCAAGCGAATCTGCTGTGTCCGCAGCCACTACTGCTTATGCCGATGATGCCCTGCCGACTGGCGCAACCGACATGGCCGTAGACGATCAGCTTGATGCAGACGGACCTGCTCGCACCTCTGACATGGCCGTAGACGATCACCTTCCCTCGGGCCCGGATGCAGACGGACCTGCTGACCGCACCTCGGACCTCCCCGCCGAGCTCGATCCGAATCACGGCGCGTCACCTTCTGCGAGTAACTCCGATGATGCTCCAGAGCACAGCTCTGGCCTTGTTGAGACGGTGGCCAGTCCCGACGACCTGGTGGACGAGCTCTCCAAGCTGTTCGAGAAAGGACTCGAGCGTCTCAAGACCATGGCTCAGGGCGATGAGTTGCACAGCCTCGTTCGCCAGCTCACACGCAATTGCAGCAACAGCATGCGGAATGCGACAGGTCAGCGAGGGATTCTTTCATTATATACCCGGCGCACGCGTGGTGCAACTCGTAAGGCTGCCAAATCTACCCGAGCTGCCCAAGCCAAGGCAAAGCGAACTGCTGCTGCCAAAGCCAACCGAGCAGCAGTAGCAGCAGCAGCAGCAGCATCAGCATCAGCATCGTCAGCCTCAACCGTTCTTCCAGGTAACGCAACTGCATCCGCAGCAGCGTCGTTGGCGACCAGTTCGTGGACACGACGCAAGAAGTCTGGAGTGAAGGGGCGGCCCAAAGCTAAGCACCGTGTTCCTGCTGCACTTATCCGAGAAGTCGCAAGATCCTTTTGCGCCAAAGACAGTCAAGCATTCGAGAGCGCAAGGGCGGCGGTGACTGCGTACAAAACCCAACAGTTTGTCGACTACATCCCGCCTTCTCGCAGCAATCGCGGTACTCGAGATCCGTGGGGCGACACTACCCCTTCATTTGCTGATTCCGATCCCACATTTGGGAATGCGAGTGATGGTGCACGTTCAGCCAGTCGGAAACGACCTCGATTGGAGCCAGAGGCTGACCCGCAGGAAACGAAACCAGCGCAACCAACAGAGGATTGGTTTGAACATTTTGCCCCTCAACTGCGGCCGCCTGGAGGGCGCTCAGCGGCCATCCGTGCGCGCGACACAATTCGACGGTTTTCACGCTACGACACGAGTCGGGATGACGATGCAGACGTGTTTGAGGCCCAGCCTGAGGAGATGGACGACGATGACTTCAGGTACACTCTGGAGGAGTGTGTGCGTGCTAGACGGCTTGAAATGTTTGATTCATCTGTAAACCCGGAGTTTTTGTGAAGTTTTGTGTGATTGTGTGTGCTTGGTGTTGTACTTTGGGTCATTGTGGTGCTGCCCTCCCCACTGTTTTCACAGCAGCGGCGCCTGAGAGGTGTCAGCATCCTTGACCCCATTCGATTTTAAATTTGACACATGGATAAACTTGTCTTTGAAGTTTCGCGGCATAGAACGTGGCAG